AGTGGCTCCCTACTTGTCAGGGCCGGCCCAGATGGCCTACCAGGGGTTGCCCGCGAGGGAGGCTCTCCACTACTATAAAGTGAAGGAGGCCATATTAGATCAGGTGGGGATAACCCCCGAAACGTACCGCCAGCGGTTCCGGCAAGAACGATGTCGACCGGGAGACCGGCCCCGCGCAGTGGCACACCGCCTGAAGGAGTCCGGGATGCGGTGGCTGGAACCCGAGCCCAAGACGGGGATGCAGGTGGCGGAGCTCGTCATTTTGGAACAGTTTATACAGGTGCTCCCGGGGGAAGGACAGAGGTGGGTTCGGCGTCACCGGCCCTCCACGTTAGCTGAAGCAGTGACGTTGATGGAGGATTTTGTGGCCGCAGAAGGAACGGAGGAGCGCGGGAAGAATCCGGTGAGTGGTCCGCCCGGGAGAGCGTCAATTGCAAGTAAGGGCCCCGCCGGGAGGGGAGAGCGAAGGCAGTCGGCGGAACCGGGGCCAGCCTGGGGACGGAAGTTAGCACCCGTGTGGCGGAACCCAGCAGAAGAGCCCAGGGTGGAGCAGAGGGGGCCCGCCACCGAGAAAGACAATGGACGGAAGGCGGGGCCACCTAGTAAGCTGGTCTGCTTTCAGTGCGGGCAGGATGGCCACTTCCGCCGGGAATGCCCCGTAATGGATTGTACGTTTGGAAGGGTGATGACCTCGGAGGCCCAGAAGGCGAAAAGCCTGCCGAGTAAGGTGATGGCAAGGGTAAAAGTGGGGGGCCGTGTCGTGGAGGCACTGGTGGACTCCGGCTGTGGACAAACGATGGTACGGGCAGACCTGGTCGAAGGGGGAGCAGCTACTGGAGGGCCCATCTGGATGCAGTGTGTCCACGGGGACGTCCGCCCTTATCCGACGGCTTGGGTCCAGATAGAGGACGGACGGCATACAGAGACGTGGCGAGTGGCGTTAGCCCCAAACCTGGCGTACCCCGCCCTGCTGGGATACGACTGGCCGGGCCTGGGCCCCTTGCTCCGACAATGGGGGCAGGCCGTGACATCACCCGAGGACGACCCCGGGGAAAGGGTGCCGGAGGTGGCGCAGGGGGAAGAAGCCCAGGCCCCGACTAGCGGGCACCCTACGGGAGGGGCTACGCCGGCCGGTACCGGAGAGGATACCCAGCTGTCTAATCTGGAGGTAGACGAAGGGGACTTCATCCAGCTTCAGCGGGAAGACCCCTCGCTTCAGCGAGCCTGGGACCAAGCTACGGCCCCGGGTGAAGGAGACGGGCCTCAGGAGACCTATGGCCAGAATCCCCGATTTGAGGTACGCGGGGATCGATTATACCGGGTGACCCAGGAGAGGGAGGGGCGTGAGACGGTCCGCCAGCTATTAGTCCCCACCAGGTATAGGTGGCGGGTCTTGGAATTGGCGCACGCCCACCCCTGGGCCGGGCACCTGGGGCGGGAGAAGACCCAACAGCGCGTGCTGCAAAGGTTCTTCTGGCCAGGGGTATATCGGGCTGTCCGGGACTTTTGTGACTCCTGCCCACAGTGCCAGCTGACGGCCCCAGCAGGGATCCCGAGGGCCCCGCTCATCCCGCTCCCGGTGGTGGGTGTCCCTTTCGAGCGGGTGGCTTTCGACCTGGTAGGGCCGGTCGAGAAGTCAGGACGGGGGCACCAATTTATATTGGTTTTAATAGACTACGCAACTCGGTATCCCGAGGCCGTCCCATTGCGGTCCACCACGGCGTCCGTGATCGCGGGAGAGCTGGTAAAAATCTTCGCGAGGGTAGGGCTCCCTCGGGAGGTGTTAACGGACCAGGGCCCAAATGTCACATCCCGGGTAATGAGCGAACTCTGTCGGATGCTGCGGATTAAAACCTTACGCACCTCCGTGTACCACCCCCAAACGGATGGCCTCGTAGAACGATTTAACAAGACGCTGAAAGCAATGATAAGACGGTTTATACATGACGACCCCCGGGAATGGGATAAGATGTTGCCGGCCCTGTTGTTTGCTGTCAGGGAAGTGCCCCAGGCCTCCTCGGGGTATTCCCCATTTGAATTGTTGTACGGGCGGCAACCACGGGGAATATTAGACCTGGTGAAAGAGAACTGGGAGGAGCAAGAGTCGAGGGCCCGGGGGACAGTCCACTATGTGCTGCAACTCCGGGAAAGGTTGAGAGCACTGGGGGAGTTAGCGAAAAGCAATCTAGAAAGGGCTCAGGAGCACCAGGAAAGACGCTACAACCAGGGGGCCCGTTTGAGGGAATTCGCACCAGGAGATCGGGTCCTGTTGCTATTGCCAGACCGAGATTCCAAGCTGATGGCGAGGTGGCAGGGCCCATTTGAGGTTCTCCGGAGGGTTGGGAAGGTGGACTATGAACTGAGGTTACAAGGGAAAAGGAAGGACACCCAAATATACCATGTAAACCTCTTAAAGAGGTGGAAGCCCCGAGAAGCACTATTGGTGGATCCGCGGCCCCTCGAGTTAGACCTCGGCCCTTGGTGTGAGCCAGAGGAAAAACCCTGGATAGAGGGAGAACTGGCGCCCGCGCAGAGGAAAGAGATGGAACAGCTGCTACAGACGTTTCCACACGTACTAACAAGCCATCCAGGTAAGACGACCCTCGCCGCCCATGAGATAGACACGGAGCCCGGGAAGAGAGTCCGCAACCCGCTCAGGCCATTACCACGGAAGTTATGGGAGCCCGTGAAACAGGAGTTACAGCTGATGTTACAGTGGGGGGTGGTAGAAGAATCGCATAGTGACTGGCGGAGCCCGATAGTGCTGGTTCCAAAGGCAGACAAGACATTACGGTTCTGTATAGACTTCCGGGGGGTGAATGCGATCTCACGCTTCGACGCCTACCCCATGCCCCGGGTGGAGGAGTTGCTCGAGCGTATTGGAGAAGCCCAGTACCTCTCCACGATTGACCTCACGAAAGGCTACTGGCAAATTCCTCTGACCCCCGGAGCCAGGGAAAAGACCGCCTTTGCCACTCCCTTTGGGCTGTACCAATTTGTGACGATGCCATTCGGGCTCCATGGCGCCGCGGCAACATTCCAACGGCTCATGGACCGAATACTGCGGCAGCACCAGGCCTTCGCCGTCGCGTATATTGACGACATCGTCATATTTAGCACAACCTGGGAGCAACACCTGAAACATGTGCAGGCCATCCTCAAAACCTTAGCGGAGGCGGGTTTAACAGCAAACCCAAAGAAATGCAAATTCGGACGCCGGGAAGTGTCATATCTAGGCTACACCGTGGGGGGAGGGCGCCTAAAGCCCTTAGTCGACAAGGTGAGTGCGGTACGGGATTGGCCTTTACCCACAACCAAGAGACAGATACGTCAGTTCCTGGGGTTAGCGGGGTACTACAGACGATTTATAGCCGACTTCGCCACCCTAGCGGCCCCGTTGACAGACATGACGCGGAACAACCAACCCCAAAAAGTAAGATGGACCGAAAGGGGCAGGCAGGCATTTGACACGATCAAACGACGCCTGGTGTCCGCCCCTATATTACGACAACCCGACTTTTCAAGACCATTCATCCTGCAGACGGACGCCTCAGAGGTGGGGCTCGGGGCAGTGTTAGCGCAGGAAGTCGAAGGGGGGGAGCATCCCATACTATACCTGAGTCGCAAACTGTTCGATCGGGAAAAGAACTATGCGACTATTGAGAAAGAGGCCCTGGCAGTTAAATGGGCCATTGAGGCTTTACGTTATTACCTTCTAGGGGACCGGTTCCTGTTGATCACAGACCACGCACCGTTGAAGTGGATCCAGTCGATGAAAGAGACTAATGCACGAATAATGCGGTGGTATTTAGCTCTCCAACCATACTGTTTCCAAGTGGTACACCGCCCGGGGGCGGCGCACCAGAACGCGGACTTCCTATCGCGAAGTATAAAGGAGGCTGAGGGGACGAAAGGACCCCCAGAGCTCGACTTAAGGGGGGAGGTGTGTGACGGGGTGAGGCAACCCCGCACTGGAAGGGCCCCCCCCAGCGAGGCAGGGGAAAGCGGCGCGGCTTGTCTCGCCGCCGCCGAGGACGCGTCCGGTGGGGTAACCGGGACGCGCCGCTCGGCAGGCGGGCGAGCGGGCGGGACCCCGAGCAACACAGGGGAGGGCGGTGACGGGGTGAGGCACCCCCGCACCGAGGAGGGCCCCCCCAGCGGGGCAGAAAGGAACGCCGCGGCTGGACCTGCTGCCGCCGGGGACGCAGGCAGCAGGGCAGCCGGGACATGCCGCCAGGCTGGCGGGGCCCAGGGCGCCGGCCGGGACAGCGGGCTGGTGAGCGGACGAGCGAGGGCGTGAGGAAGCAGCCCAGGGCGGGTGTACTGGAGCCCGAGGGTTGATGCGTTGCGGCACTGTGCCCCATCAGCCAGGTTGGGGGGAGAGAAGAACATCTCCCCCGCCTTAGGGCCCTGGGCTGGGGTCTGGAGAGAGGGAGGGCCCGGACCCCCCTCACCTCCTCGCTCGTGGGACCCCCGGGGCAACAGCCGGGAGGGCCGACCCGGCGCCGCATCGCGGAGACCGAGACCTTCCGGGGCGGCAAACGTGGTCGTGTGACTGCCCAAGGCGGGGTGGGGCTGTGGCCCCCAGAGCACCAGGTCTATAAAATCATGACTGGTATGGAAAAAGTGAATAAGGAAAAGTTATTTACTTATTCCCACAATATAAGAACTAGGGGTCATCAAATGAAATTAATAGGCAGCAGGTTTAAAACAAACAAAAGGAAGTTTTTTTTCACTCAGCACACAGTCAACCTCTGGAACTCCTTGCCAAAGGATGTGGTGTAGGCTAGGACTTTAACAGGGTTCAAAAAAGAGCTAGATAGATTTGTGGGGGTTAAGTCCATTAATGGCTATTAGCCAGGATGGGTAGGAATGGTGTCCCTAGCCTCTGTTTCTCTGGAGGGTGGTGACAGGGGAAGGATCACATGAGGATTACCTGTTGTGTTCCCGCCCTCCAGGGCATCTGGTATTGTCCACTGTTGGCAGACAGGATACTGGGCTGGATGGACCATTGGTCTTACCCAGTATGGTCGTTCTTATGTTCTTTGCGACTACCTCTAAGAGGACATGATGAGTCATCAGTGTCAAATGGAAAAGGTAATTTTTTAACCTGCCTTGAATATCTTAGTGAATTTGACTATTTTTTCAATGAACATTTGAAAAATTATCAGTATTGTGGCTCAGGGAAGACCAATGTTTTAATACACCAAACCTACAATTAATTCATTGTAGCAGCTCCGAAACCAATTCACTGATGAAGTAAAGGATAGAATCATAGAATCATAGAATAATAGGACTGGAAGGGACCTCGAGAGGTCATCGAGTCCAGCCCCCCGCCCTCAAGGCAGGACCAAGCTCCGTCTACACCATCCCTGACAGATGTCTGAAGAACTTTTCTTTATGCACCCTCTCCACGCCACTCATGCTTTTCATAGAATCATAGAATAATAGGACTGGAAGGGACCTCAAGAGGTCATCGAGTCCAGCCCCCCGCCCTCAAGGCAGGATCAAGCTCTGTCTACACCATCCCTGACAGATGTCTATCTAACCTGTTCTTAAATATCTCCAGAGAGGGAGATTCCACCACCTCCCTTGGCAATTTATTCCAATATTTGACCACCCTGACAGTTAGGAATTTTTTCCTAATGTCCAATCTAAACCTCCCCTGCTGCACTTTAAGCCCATTACTCCTTGTCCTGTCCTCAGAAACCAAGAGGAACAAATTTTCTCCTTCCTCCTTGTGACACCCTTTTAGATATTTGAAAACCGCTATCATGTCCCCCCTTAATCTTCTTTTTTCCAAACTAAACAAGCCCAGTTCATGAAGCCTGGCTTCATAGGTCATGTTCTCTAAACCTTTAATCATTCTTGTTGCTCTTCTCTGTACCCTTTCCAATTTCTCCACATCTTTCTTGAAATGTGGCGCCCAGAACTGGACACAGTACTCCAGCTGAGGCCTAACTAGTGCAGAGTAGAGCGGCAGAATGACTTCACGAGTTTTGCTTACAACACACCTGTTGATACAACCTAGAATCATATTTGCTTTTTTTGCAACAGCATCACACTGTTGACTCATATTCAACTTGTGGTCCACTATGACCCCTAGATCCCTTTCTGCCATGCTCCTTCCTAGACAGTCGCTTCCCATCTTGTATGTATGGAACTGATTGTTCCTTCCTAAGTGGAGCACTTTGCATTTCTCTTTATTAAACCTCATCCTGTTTACCTCTGACCATTTCTCTAACTTGCTAAGGTCATTTTGAATTATGTCCCTATCCTCCAAAGAAGTTGCAACCCCACCCAGTTTGGTATCATCTGCAAACTTAATAAGCGTACTCTCTATCCCAATATCTACATCATTGATGAAGATGTTGAACAGTATGGGTCCCAAAACAGACCCTTGAGGAACTCCACTTGTTATCCCTTTCCAGCAGGATTTAGAACCGTTAACAACAACTCTCTGACTACGGTTATCCAGCCAATTATGCACCCACCTTATCGTGGCCCTATCTAAGTTATATTTGCCTAGTTTATCAATAAGAATATCATGCGAGACCGTATCAAATGCCTTACTAAAGTCTAGGTATATGACATCCACCGCTTCTCCCTTATCCACAAGGCTCGTTATCTTATCAAAGAAAGCTATCAGATTAGTTTGGCATGACTTGTTCTTCACAAACCCATGCTGGCTATTCCCTATCACTTTATTACCTTCCAAGTGTTTGCATATGATTTCCTTAATTACCTGCTCCATTATCTTCCCTGGGACAGACGTTAAACTGACCGGTCTGTAGTTTCCTGGGTTGTTCTTATTCCCCTTTTTATAGATGGGCACAATATTTGCCCTTTTCCAGTCTTCTGGAATCTCCCCTGTCTGCCATGATTTTTCAAAGATCATAGCTAAAGGCTCAGATACCTCCTCTATCAGCTCCTTGAGTATCCTGGGATGCATTTCATCAGGACCTGGTGACTTGCTGACATCTAACTTTCCTAAGTGATTTTTAACTTGTTCTTTGTGTATCCTATCTTCTAAACTTACCCTCTCTCTGCTTGTATTCACTACGTTAGGCACACCTCCAGACTTCTCGGTGAAGACCGAAACAAAGAAGTCATTGAGCATCTCCGCCATTTCCAAGTTCCCTGTTACTGCTTCTCCCTCCTCGCTAAGCAGTGGGCCTACCCTGTCCTTGGTCTTCCTCTTGCTTTTAATGTATTTATAAAAGGTCTTCTTGTTTCCCTTTATGCCTGTAGCTAGTTTGATCTCATTTTGTGCCTTTGCCTTTCTAATCTTGCCCCTGCATTCCCGTGTTGCTTGCCTATATTCATCCTTTGTTAGTTGTCCTAGTTTCCATTTTTTATATGACTCCTTTTTTATTTTGAGATCATGCAAGATCTCCTTGTTAAGCCAAGCTGGTCTTTTGCCATATTTTCTATCTTTCCTACACAGCGGAATTGTTTGCTTTTGGGCCCTTAACAACGTCCCTTTGAAATACTTCCAACTCTCCTCAGTTGTTTTTCCCTTCAGTCTTGCTTCCCATGGGACCTTACCTACAAGTTCTCTGAGCTTATCAAAATCTGCCTTCCTGAAATCCATTACCTCAATTGTGCTGGTCTCCCTTCTACCTTTCCTTAAGATCATGAACTCTATTATTTCGTGATCACTGTCCCCTATACTGTCTTCCACTTTCAAGTTCTCAACTAGTTCCTCCCTATTTGTTAAAACCAAATCCAGAACAGCTTCTCCTCTGGTAGCTTTTTCAACCTTCTGAAACAGAAAGTTGTCTCCAATGCAGTCCAGAAACTTATTGGATAGCCTGTGCCTCGCTGTGTTAGTTTCCCAACATATGTCTGGATAGTTGAAGTCCCCCATCACCACCAAATCTTGGGCTTTGGATAGTTTTGTTAATTGTTTAAAAAAGGCCTCATCCACCTCTTCCACCTGGCTAGGTGGCCTGTAGTAGACTCCTAGCATGATATCACCCTCGTTTTTTACCCCTTTTAGCTTAACCCAGAGACTGTCTACACAGCTATCTCCTACGTTCATCTCCACTTCAGTCCAAGTGTGTACATTTTTAATATACAAGGCAACCCCTCCTCCCTTTTTTCCCTGTCTGTCCTTCCTGAGCAAGCCGTACCCTTCCATACCAACATTCCAATCATGTGTCCCATCCCACCAGGTTTCTGTAATACCAATGATATCATAGTTGTATTTATTGGTTAGCAATTCCAGTTCTTCCTGCTTATTACCCATACTTCTCGCATTTGTATATAGGCATCTAAGATACTGATTTGATCTTGCCTCCCTGTTGTGCCCTGACCCTCCTTTCTCCTTGCCATTATAGGCCGTAGTCCCCCCCATTTCCAACCCATCTCCCAGTCCCGCACATTCAGCACTTAGATGCCAAGTACAATTCCAAAATAGTCGATTCAACACCAGACGTAAGTCATGTAGACCAATTAACATTAATTTTAATATATGTGACCAGCAATGGTGAAGTTGTAAAGCAATTTCTTTGTTTTGTCCCACTAAAATCCCACACTTCTGAATGTCTAGAGACAACGCATTTGGAAATCATTGAAAATTTAGGTTTGGACATCAAAAATTGTCATGGACAGAGTTCTGATAATGCCGCAAATATGTCAGGAAAATATTCAGGTCTACAGGCAAGACTGAACAATGCATATCTCTCTGCTTTATTCAGACCATGTTCCAGCCATTCCTTACATTTAATCTGCAATGCTGCAGCCGTATCTTGTGAGGGAGCTACACATTTTTTTACTTTGTTCAAAACACGCATGCTTTTTTTTTTTCAGTTTCCACACATCGATGGAGTATGCTATAATCACATTTGGAGCAGGCAAATGGAAAACATTTGACAGTGAAAAGAATTTGTGACACCAGGTGGTTTGCTTGTGCAGATGCTGTTTTGGCTTTGAAAATGAGCTATGATGTTATAAAGAGAACCTTATTAGACATAATCATCACATTCTGAAAAACCACATGCAAAAACTGAAGCAAAATCCTTAGCAGAAAAGTTTGAAAAGTTATGATATTGCTGTTTTTACTATTTTGTGGAACCGTTTACTTCAAAGAATTAATGCCGTCAGCAAATCACTGCAAAAAGTTGATACAAATGTATTGAACGCTGAGCAATTGTTAGCCTCAGTTACAAGTTTTGTCAAGGAGGTTCAAAATGACTATACGTCCGTGGAAACAGAGGCACTAACATTAACTGAAAATATGGGTTCCTCTGATATATCTGATGAGAAGCATAAAAAACTCAGGAAGTTATATTTTGATGCAACTAGAGACAATGAAATCAA